TAGCAGATCTGACTAGTTTAAGTGTTGAATCATTGCAAGAGCCACATTATGTAGTTATAATATAGACTCAGTAACCACATATTTGATTAATGAGACTTAATTCAGTAACCACATATTTTATGAATAAGACTTTATTTAGGAAAATTTGGGGTTCTTTTAAAGCATAGATAAATTAGCTAGCATGTTTGGTTACAAAAATAAAATAAAAAGCTAGCATGTTATATTCTTTAAAATTATATCGATCTGTACATTTGTGTATATTGATCTATAGAACTGTATATATTCTCCATCTCTCTTCAACATGTTATTTCATTATGAATATGGACTTCTGTAAAAAAAATATAATCAGTTATATAGACACTATGATACTTCATAATATATGATGTTAAAAGAAACATATGGACACAGTTTGCTAATGTATTTTTATTAATTATTAATAATCATACCCAACACAAACGGATATATATATATATATATATCTATAATTGGTACACATTGATATATTTTCATGAAAATTAGTTACTTGTTTCTTGCGCAGCTAGAGAGTTGAGAAAGACTATGAATCTTGATTTACCTCATCCATCTAGAGAACTATAATACATATATGAAACAAAAAAATTCATAAAAAAATATATATATTATTTCCTGAACCAGGAGATAAAAAATATCTTCTTATATCCAAAAATACAGATATAAGCAGAGAATAAAATCCATGAACAATGAAACAAAATATCCAAAAAACTTTTATAATTCTCAATTTTTTTACAAGAACATTTTTTCTACGAAAACAATGTTTCAACATATTTTACATAGATTTTTTTTTCACGTTGGGAATATAATTAATCAAAAACCAAAGAACAAAAAATCTCGTAAAACAAAAACAGAGAAAAAAGCAACCATATAAATAAAGCATCAGTCTCCAATGGTTCCAACATGCTTCCACTTCCGAGTTTCTCAATCTTAAATATCTTGTGGCACATGCTTCTCGATATAATCTCTCATGAAGCCATGCTGGTCCACCCGTAGCCAAATATGATTGGAAACAACCATCTCTTGTAAAGCTTTTTACGATGTCCCAAGGGATCCTATTAGATTTTAGATTTTTCATCATAAGAAGATACAGTTAAACACATAAACTTGGAGCTAAATGTTTGCTGTTAAGGAGCTATTAAAAATAGAATAAACCCTAATCCACATTTCTTATAGATTAAAAAATATATATTTTAAATATACAAAATTCATATATACGATAAATTACATACATTTAAATAGTGATCACCTGCGTTAATGACATTCCAACTATTTTTAGCTAAAATATAAATTAGACATTTGATTAGAAAATTCATTTTGAAATTTTATGTAAAACTTAGTACAAAAAGCGTTATAACCGACTGATCACCATAACCCTAGATTCTAACTCCAATATCTTAGGTAAACTTAAACTAAAAGAAAATAAAATGTATTTTGCACTTTAGAATAGTTTTTTATTTTACTTATCAGACTGTGAACATTTATTCTCAAAATGCTAACGAAATCATATATTATTTAAATAAAAATGACACATCACAAATCCATAAAATGAAAAATCATAATCATTCAGATAGTAAAAAAAAACCACAACAATATTAAAAACCGCTACAAAAAAAAATTAATTGCAAAAGCACTTGAGAATAATTTTATTTTTTTGCTTATTAAAATGTGAACGTCCATTCTTGAAACCCTAATGGAACCATGTATTATTGGTAGGATTTGGACTGGTAACATGGATGATACTGCTTGAGCTGACTGTGGTCAGAGCAGTAGAGGAATCACTGGGGATTTGCTGTTGTTGCTGGTGCTGGTGGTGGTGGAAGGGGTTGTGGAGGTTGGGGTTGTGGCGGTTATCCATATACTCATATGCATCACTCATTTGGTCAGGATGGTTCATCATCTCCATAAAAGGTTGTT